CCCCAAAACCCCAAAACCCCAGAAGTTTGTAAAAGTATAATCAGAAAATTTCACAAATTAAAAAATTAACATTTTCTAGTCTCTTTGAATTAAATAATTTGATATGTTAGTCCTTATAAATTATATTAAAAATCTTAAAAAACTCGATGAATTCTTTCCATAACCAGAGCCTTTTAGGTAGTTTATTGGATTCAGCTGGCCACCAAACAAGTTTTCATTTAGAATCACTCAATGATAACAATTCAGTTGATTGGGATAAAGTATATCAGAATAGGAAGTTTTAGGCCCTAGTTCTTCTAATATCGAACTTAATTCTGAGTTTGATTGCACTTCTTTTAATTAGAGACAGGAATAATTTGATTTTAAGTTTCAGCTATCTCGGTAAGAATATCAACAAGTTCAAATAAATTTAGTTTGCCTTGACGCTGCGATTATATTCGGTTTAATATTCGTAAAAAAGACCAGGTTTACAGTGATATCTTATTTCATAGCTCCAACTATACTAGTCTCCCTTACTTTTTACTATGTGTAAATTTATTTATATGAGTAATTTTATAGGTTTTTAATAATACATGAGATAATTTAAAGTAATAAAAGCCAAATTAAAGATAAGTAATAAATAGATCAAAATAATGAATCCATTCAAAAGCCAGATAATGACTAGCGAATCTATGTAATATGGAGCATGATTGGAATTATGCTGCTTTAACAATTCATTCTGAAACCTTACTATTTAGCAGGGGAACTAAATTCCTTTGAGAAAGCTATAACAGCTTTAGATGTAATTTTTTCTATTTATAATGGCAATAGGCAATAAAGTACAAAATATTTGTTATGCTTTTGATTTTCTTTTCGTTTTTCGGCTACTTAATAAGAATCAACTACAACATTTCATTCTTATAATACAGCTATGAATTCATATTCGTTCTCTTGATACTGAAATACTTTATAAGTTTTACTGCTAATATTAGCTATTCAATTCTGAGCTACCCTATAAATTACATCAGGTCTAATGATTCCGCTTTTGTTATGCATTCTTATTTAATGAAGATTCCAATCATATATAATAACCTTAAAGTGCAGCAGGTATATTTAGTTGTAATTATTATACTGATATAGAGAGAATATTGTAATCTTATTCACAAGATAAGGGACCTAGGCGAGAGAATAGATCCTACTACTATGGATAAAAAGACAGCTAGCAATTTTTTAAGTCTTATCAGCATTTTGGATGAGAAAACAAGTAAATTCTATCTGAGAATAGAGCCAACTAAAGAACCAAGCGAGATGGTTGGATAGGAAACAACTATAGTAGTCTACGATGACTATTATATTAACAACATTCGAAGCTAACTGAAACAAACATATTTCCTTAGTGCAACTTACTCAGCTTAATATCAAAACTTTATAGACAAGCTAAAATCAGTATCATTTCAGAAAAATGAGTAAAAATTAATAGAACTGTGTGAGCCCAGTAAGATTAGAAATCTAGATTCTTATCAAAGAGAAAACGATAAAAAACATAAGAATCCTTAAATGAACTAGTTCTTCGCTGATAATCAGAAGATGAGTAGTAAAGAGATTTAATCTATTCAATCGAAAGAAAGTTTGCTTAAATTTGTACAGAGCTAAGGGTAGACTAGCCATCCATACGATGATAATAAAGCCTTAAATGAATCATCACTTTTAAACAACTAGATTTATTTGATAAGTAAGAGGAAAAATATTATAAGACGGTTCTTCATCATTATCATTGGGATGATTATAATTTCACTAAACGGACTTATCATTGATTCTTTGATTTATACAGCTAAAAGTGATTTCTCATCTATTTTATGTTTGATCTGGGATCAGAAGTTTTATGTAAAATTGATCATGATTATCTCCCTACTTGCTCTTTCTCTTGAATAATTCAATTACTCTTAAATGAAAATTCTAAATGGTTCTGATATAAGATATAAAAGATTGAATTTGATGCAATATTTGAGATTTTCAAGCAAAATATCTGAATTTATGGTAAATTTTTTATTTTAATTTATTTAGATTGCATTTGTGATGTTTTTTCCTCTAATTATTCCAGTTGAGAAAGTTCTCATTTCATTTTAGATTTCAAGAGAATTTTTCAATATGATACACCTATAGAGTTACCAAATCATAGTCTTATTAGTAGTCATATGCATGATTGGCTTCGCAAGTTTAATTATAGATCAGAAACTCACTCTCTAGATAAGAATCTAATATATATTCAAGATAGTAACTAAATCAATACCTAATTATTTTTAGATCGATCATTTAGAATATGAAAGAAATATGAAAATGCTGAATGATCCTTTGACTTTAATACTAGAGGGAGAGAGAATTGCTTATTAAGAATTTGAGAGAAGAAAGCGACATAGCTATAAGAGATCAGTTGCTTATAGCTCTTCTGATGAGGAATCTGATAATCCTTCTTCAATGCATTTATTCACATCATTTTAGATTAAATCACCCACAACTGACCCAGGAAATATGATAAGCCCTGATTTTTTTGCAAGATAGAATGAGATGATAAATGATCTATAAAATCTAAATAAGACAGATCCAATTTAAGAGAATAACTTTGAAATAATAAATATGTCTTTTGGTGCTGCAGTTGAATTAAAGAAGAATTGTAGCAGTTAATAAGTTCCAGGATCCAAACATAGTCATAATAATAAAAATAATAATAATCAAAATGATTATAGGCAAGATAGATACTACTACGCACATAGCAGTTCATCTTCTTAAGGTGAGACATGCAAAAGTGGAACAACCTATAAGTCTATTCAAGAATTTAAGACCATCTAACAATGCAGAGAACCTGAAAAAATCACAAAAACAAAAGTGTTTATTAACAGAAAATCCAAGGATAAGATTAAAAAGTACAAAAATTAAAACAATCATTAAAATCTGAATTCCCCAAATATTCCAAGTCTAACTTTTGCACAAAGTCAAAATTAGTTGAAAGAACTAGATCTAAGGAGATTTAAGAGTGAATAAAATCAAATTCTAACTTTCTAGACAGATAATAATCTCCTTAAATCACCAAAAGCCCATCATTTTTTAGAAAATAACTGTATTTTAAAGAAGGACTATTAGGGGAAATTATTTTCAAATGATAAAATATTCTCAGATATATCTCTAGGCTAGTCAATTGTAATTCCAGTGTACTATGAGACCTAGATATAATATCTCTAAGAAAATATGTGGTTATAGTGCAACATGAAACTACAGAATAAGAAAGTCATAATTGAGCAAATATTAGATAGCCATAATAGTGGAAACAATATTTAAATACATAGGCTGAAGTGTAAACATATCAAGCATTTGACTTATGATAAATTTAACAAGAATTCAGGATTGATGATTAAGTATAAGTAAGATGTGATTATCAAGATTAAGACTAATACCAGAGAAGAACTAATAAAATGGGTTGAGATATTGAATAAGGAAATAGAATTTAACTGAAATGATTAATGAATAGTATTGAATTACTTGAAATTGTTCACATTTGCTTTATGGGGTTTTGGGGTTTTGGGG